TCCTCCTCGAGGCGCCAGTGCGCGCTGGGGCAGCAGCGGCGGCTCGGTCAGCAACCTCCTGTGCCAGGCGCTCGCCTATGGCTCCTGCCGGACGCGCAGCGTTCTTGGGCGTGCCCTGCCTCGGCACATCACGAGCTGCCCTGCCCTCCAGCCGCGCCAGCCGCGCCTCGAGCGCGGGGTCCTCGGCGGTCTCCTCGAGCCCGGCGATCTCCTGGTCGAGCGGGCCCGCCTCTCCTGGACCGCCCGGGGTCTGGGTGCCCTTCACCTCGCGGGCGCACATGTGCGGGGGCCCGCGAGGCTTCTCCTCGACTTTGTTGCCCCATCCCCGAGCGGCCAGCCGCCGAGCTCTCCAGGCAATGGCTCGGCCGCGGGCGAGGCGGTCCGCACAGGCGCCCCAGGAACCGCTGCTAGGCAGATGAGCTTCGCCCGCTCGCGGGCCACGCCGCCGTGGCCCATCACCTGCCACATGTCCAAGTGCTCGACCACAGCACCAGCTGGAGCGACCGTCCCGCACTTGTTGGCGCTGCACCTGCAGAGGTGGAAGACCGTGGCCGCGCGATGTGCGCCCCGCTGCCCGCAGGAGGCTGCCTACCATGAGAAGTACGTGTCGCTGGCGCCCACCTGCCGGGCCTTGATGAATCTGCCGATGGTGTCCGCCTGGTAGGCGACCTCGACCTCGAGCATCTCGACGCCCTGCGGCGCCGCTGGGTCGTCCTAGACCCGCGCCAGGACCCGTGCCCCAGCCCTCGGCGGCAGCCCCGCCACCAGCTCGCCGTTCAGCGCCGCGTCGAGCCAGGCTCCACTCGAAGAGGGCCAGCCGCCGGCAGCTGGGGCTGCCCGCTCCATCGGGCTCCTCGCCAGCAACTAAGCGGGAGAGGGGCGACCCGCGCCCGGGATCCTCGTCTCCCAGCCAGGTCTTCGCTCCCCTCAACCCGCCAAGGCTGCCAGCGAGGCTGATCAGAATCAGTCGTCGGAGCGTGGCCCTGCAAGCGGCCGCGCGAGCGCGGCAGTCTGACAGTAGTCAGAGTGGCTCGGCAGCGGCCACAGACGGGCGGCACCGCCCGGTGACTCCGCTGCCTGTCTCAAACCAACACAGCTACGGAAGATGGATGAAACTCACGCTATCCATCAACGGCGTCGCGCACGCTCAGGTGGACTCCGCATAGGTTTCCTTGGAAGGTTCATATATATACATATCTACATATATACATATCTGTATATGTATACATGTATGTATGTATATGTATGTATGTGTGTGTGTTGTTTTTGTGCGTGGGCCCAGCGGCCCAGTTCCCGTCCGTCGCCGAAGCCCCGCTGCGCATCCCCCCCTGCATTGCGAACGCCTTGCGCTTCAATCGCACTGCGTTGCATTGCAATCGCACTGCATCGCATCGCTTTGCATTGCGGTGCAATCGCTTTGCAGTCGCATGTCACTTCAGTCGCATTGCATTGCATTGCATTGCATTGCATTGCATTGCATTGCATTGCAATCGCGTGGCATTGCTTTTCGAGAATGTGCATTGCTTTGCTTTGTGTTACCTTGCCTTGCTTTGCATCGTATTTCGTTGCGTCGGATTGCTTCGCATTGTCTGGCATTCCGTTGCATGGCATTGTGTTGGGTTGCCTTGCTTTGCGCTGCTTTGCACTGCGTTGCATTGCGTTGCCTTGCTTTGCGTTGCATCATTCTGCATTTCTATGCATTCATTTGCATCACACAGATTGGACCACCTACGTTGCACCACATTGATTGCACGAATTAAGTTGCGCCGCGTAGATTGCGAGACATCACTGTTTTCGGTCCACGCTGGCTAACATGTATATATATGTGTGTGTGTATGGATGTCGATGCTCAGATCGAGTACGCATAGGTTTCTGCATACACAAAATCACAAATATACTAGGACGTCGCACGCGCGCTTCGCACGCGCGCGTAAGTTCTATCCGCGCCCGAAGAAATTCGCATCGCAAAAGGGCCTCAATGTCGATAACGTTTGGCTGTTCGGAGGTATTGTCGAATCGCTTCCAGGCCACCTCCAGCCGTCTTTGGGCCGTCCTGCAGCCTCGTGGACACATGCTGGAGATGCAGTATTGGGGGTGATTTGGGGAAGCTTCAAGCCGTATTGAAAGCCTCCTGGGCAATATTTGCAATCTTTTTGGGCCGGCGGGGTAGGTTAGGGGGTCGTTTGGGTTGTATTGAGACCCGCTTTGGGCTTCCTAAGGCTGTACTGTAGCCGCCTTGGGCTAGATTGGGCCGTCTTGGGGGCTCTCTTGAATCTCTTGGGCCGCACCCCTCTGGGGGCTATCCTGGGCAGTCTCGAGCCCCTGCGGGAGCACTCTTGAGACCCTCTTGGGCCGTCTTGGGCCCACATTGGGCCCCTCCTCAGGCCTTTGCCTGTCTGGGGGCTTGAAGCCCGTCGTGGGCGCCCTGGGGAACGGGAAGGCATGTCCGTCGGCCCCCTGTCTGAGCCTCCAGGCTGCGAGGATGCGATGTCCTGCACCCTGCCTGCATTGCTTCCAGTTTTCGGTTGCCAGCGTTACAATTTTACGTTTTGCTTCCTGCTGTAATTTGTTGCCGTCCGCGCAGGGGGGGGGGCCGAAAACCAGCATGGCCACCAAGCCCGAATAGCGTTGCCTGAATTGGTTGGTGGGCCTGGGACGTGCCAAGACGTATGCGAGCTTCGCGCCCCCGAAACAATAGTTCTTGGTAGATTGCGCCAGATTCGGGCTCCCGGGGCCAGAACCCCTCGCACATTATACAAACTTTGGGGGAACCGACGCGAAAATCATTTGAATTGCACAAGATCTCGCTTTCTCGAGGCCACACTCCATCCTAAATTGCTCCAAGTTCGCGCCCCCGACCGAACCCAGAATTCATCGTCAAGTTACTCCAAGTCCGCGCTCCTGGAGCCAAAATCCTCTGTAGTAAAGTGCGCCGGGTTCGTGCTCCTGGGGCCAGAACACTTTCCAAAGTGCGCCAGATTCGTGCTCCTGACGCTGGAATCTCCACTGGAGTGCGCCCGATTCGCGCTCCCGAGTCCAGAATCCTTCGAGAATTGCGCCCGCTTCGCGTGCAATTTTTAGACAAACGGGCGGCTCTGCGATCTCTCTGCCACCGCGCTGGCCTCAGGAAGGCCGCTGCCGAGACCCACCTCGTGCAAGTAGTCCTCCTTCGGAATACCATGTGGGACCTGCTCTAGAGCAAGAATATAACGTAGACGGATCTACCGTTCTCCGACCTCACTACGCCTAACGCAGCGGCCGGGTTGTCTACACGTGTAACTACTCCGAACGCGTCTATGTACGCAACGTTGCCCAGTGTACCTATAGAAGTGCGTGTATGGCTAGAACGTGAGAACGGTATTTGGCATAGGCCCAAGATACCTCTGGACCGGATACAGAAAAACCATCCTTCAAGAACATGAGACCCTCCCCCGGCCCAAACACCCAGAACAACCCTCCCCAGGATGCGCAACCACATCCCAACACACACGCATAACATTAGAGGCCTCCTGAATGTGGTCCGAGTAGATGGGGTCGGAGGATCTCGACGCATCGCCGATACATCGGCGACAAAAGAACTGGCGCCGTAGGCGATGCATCGGCGACGTCGGCGTGGAGAAAAATTGGCCCCACATCGAGCCGCATCGCCGATGCATCGCCGATGCATCGCCGATGCGGCGCGATCCTCCGACCCCACCTACTAGTCTACTCCGACCCCATATGGGAAGCATAGAAACATCAGGGCACCCTGCCCGAACCGACCTCGATCTTACTACGGGAACGAAAACTGGCATAAACAGAAACACTCGGAGGTCCGCGCGGATTCCTTGGATCCGCGCTGGACACCCCTCCCTGGCGCGCGGAGCGCGACAGGGGCGGCGCCGCCAGATGACCCCAGCGCAGATCCGAGCAATCCGCGCGGACCTTCGAGCTCTTATGTTTTTGTCATTGTTCGTTCCCCTTATATGAAGGGGCCCCAGGACACACAAACAAATACACACAAACAAAAATATGCCCCATATTTTCCATATTTTCTGGGTTTCTGTCTTCCCCACCACTTCCCATATTTCCCCACATTTTCTGGGAGTCGACGATTGATTGTGTCTGTGTGTTTCTCTCCCTCCTGATTATATGCCTCGGTCCGACCGTAGACCCTCTCGCGGCACGTGGGCGGGAGGGGGGGTCCGGGCACCCGCCTCGACCAGCCCCGGGAAACGCGGCGAGGGGCGGCGGCAGAGCGGAGCGCGCCGCGGCCGGGGGGCGTGCCGCTCCTGGAGTTGGAGTACGTGGCGATCTTCACAGAGGAGCAGACCGATGGCATAGGCATGAACTTCCGGAGGTCCGCGCGAAGTTCACAGGTCTCCTCCTCCTCCTCCTCCTCCTCCTTCCCTTCCCCCTCCTCCTCCCCCTCCTCCTCCTCCTCCTCCTCCTTCTCCTCCTCCTCCTCCTCCCTCTCCTCCTCCTCCTCCTCCTCCTCCTCCTCCTCCTCCTCCTCCTCCTCCTCCTCCTCCTCCTCAGGAGCCCTCCGACGATTGATGCTCCTGAATCGGTGGGTGGCGGGGGCAGGGGTTCGGGCTTCGCCACGCGTTCGACGGAGAGTCCGAGCCGTACCCCCGCCGCCCATCACTTTGCCTGTGTCGTTGATCGGCGAGGGCCGGGTTCGGACTTCAGGGCCGATTATTTGGATCGGCGCTGGGCCCCCCCTTTCCGGCGCGCGGAGCGCGCAAGGGGCAGCGCCAGAGGCGCCGCCAGCGCCAACCAAAGCCGGGCGTTCCCTTATGAGGGGGGCGATGACTGGGGGCGGCGGTGGATGCCTGCACCTTTCGCCCCCCTTGGGCCCCATGAGGGGGCCCCTTACCAGGGCCTCTCTGGTGGATAAGAGGCGGACGCTTCGCCGCCCCCCCTCTCCCATCATCGCTGCCCCCCCCCTTACGCACCGCCAGACTGAGAAATGCGCGCGGCCCTCTGGCAGCTTATGCCTACGCCACGGTCTGCTCCTCGACTTCATGCCCACGTAGCCGGCGAGGATCTGCGCGGCCCAGCGCGGGCGCGGAGGCCGACCCTCGGCCGGCAAATCTGGCAACGGCGACGCATGGGCGCAGCGCCCGCCCTGGTGGGCGCCGAGGTATACGGTCGGCGTTGGAAGGATAGCGTACAACATCGATCTCCGAAGCTGAGCACGCTGTCGCTTTGAGGCGATCCCCCCGCGAGGGCCCCTTCTGTACACGATCCCCCTGTTGGGGCTTCTCCGGTGCACTCTATACCCAAAAAGGGTGATAGCGTGCGATGAGCGGGCCAGCGACGCCACATCGCACGCTCTTTCCGACGCCGACCGCAGGCCCCGAGCTCGGACCCAGACCTCCAACGGCATGATCTTTCCAATTGGGGCGGCAGACCTGGGCCCAGCAAAGTTTCCTCCCGGAAGGTCGGTGATGTGCACTGAGGGCTTGTGCCAATCCCCAGCCAGGCGGCGCACTGACGGACGGCCTACCCTCTCCCCCCTCCTCCGCCCGCCCCCCCCTCCCCCTCCCCCTCCCCCCTCCTCGCCCCCCCTCCCCCCTCCTTCCCCCCCCCTCCCCCCCTCCCCTCTCCCCCTCCTTCCCCCCTCCCCTCCTCTCCTCCTCCCCCTCCTCCTCCTCCACGTGACGGCCCGAGGTCGGGACCTTTGGGGCAGCACATCGAAGTTACCCAGGGACGTACCCAGATCTGTCTACACATAGGACAGCCATAAGCAGGAATTGCTGAGCTAATAAAAACGCTGCCACCCTTGACGTTCCGCAAGAGGATCTTTGACAACGCTGAATGGTCCAAATCGCGCAAGGACCCTTGCAATCCACACAAGAAGCGGCAAGACACGGGCTGGCCCTCCCAAGCAATCACGAGCGTGAACACTATGGCATATCGCAGCCGCCCACCCCCGGGACGGCGAGGTCTTGATCTGATCAGCGTACGACGTCGCTGCGACGGGCCTCCCAGAAGCTCAACAAAGTGGCGACGGCTTCGCAGATCGAAAACCCCCAGGGATGGCGAGATGTCGACGTGATGCGCGTAAGACGTCACTGCCCTGGCCCTCCCGGGGGTTCACGCAAGTGGCGACACATTCGCAGATCGCAAGCCCCCAGGGACGGCGAGGTCTCGATCTGATCCGAATACCGTGGCGACTGTTTCGCCGATCGCCCCCCCCATGGACGGCGAGGTCTCGATCTGATCCGCGAACGACGTCACTGCGCTGGCCCTGCCAAGCCCTCACGGCAGTGGCGACCCGCGCCGCCCATCGCAGCCCACCACGGACGGCGAGGTCTCAATCCGATGCGTGTAGGACGTCACTGCGATGCCAGCCTCCCAGGGATGGCGAGGTCTCGATCTGATGCGCGTGAGATGTTACTGCGCCTGCCCTCCCAGGAGCGCACGCACAGGGCCACGGCTTCGCAGATCGCAGCCCCCCACGGACAACACACGTTCGATCTCACCTGCGTAGTACGCAACTGCGCCGGCTGCGGAAGGAGCTCACGACCGTGGCGACTACTTCGCACAATGCAGCCCGCCAGGAACGGCGTGGTCTCGAACTGATCTGCGCACGACGTCACTGCGCTGGCCCTCCCAGGAGCTTGCGAACGTGGCGACGGCTCCGTCAACGGCAGCCCCGAAGGGACGGCGCGGTCTGGATCAGCTCTGCGAAAAGCGTCACTGCGATGGCTTCCACAGGAGCTCACGAACGTGGCGACGGCTTGGCAAATCGAAGCAGCGCAGGGGCTGCGAGGTCTCAATCTGCTCTGCGTAGGACGTCACTACGCTGGGCCTCCCAGGAGCTCACAAAAAATGTAGAGAACGATTCGCAGATGGCAACCCCTCTCCCAGGAGCTCACGCACGTGGCGACGGTTTCGCTCGCAGCCCTCCAAGGGCGGTAATACCTCGATCTGATCTGTGCATGACACCTTTCCGCTGGACCTTGCCGGAGCTCGCGAAAGTGACGACGGTGCTGCAGATCACAGCCACCCAGGGGCGGCGACGGCTCGATCCTACCTGCGCAAGACGCCAAAGGAAGTGCCACCATGTTTGCGAGTCGATGCCCCCCAGGGGCGGCGAAGTCTTCATGTGATGCGCGCAGGACACCACTCACCTGGCCCTCCCACGAGAACGCGCAAGGGGTGACGGCTTCGCAGGTCGCACCCCCCCCCCTTGGGACGGGCAGACGCCATCCGGTCTGCGCAAGACGTCACTGCGCTGGCCCTGCCAAGCCCTCACGGCAGTGGCGACCCGTGCCGCCCACCGCAGCCCCCCACGGACGGCGAGGTCTCGACCTGGCGCGCATGAGGCGCCGCTCCGCTGGCCCTCGCAGGGGCTCACGAACGTGGCGATGGTTTCGCAGATCGCAGACCCCACAAGGACAGCGAGGTCTCGATGTGATGCGCGTGAGACGTCACTGCGCTGGCCCTCCTAGAGATCGCAGCCCCCCACGGACGGCGAAGTCTCGGTCCCATCTGCGTAAGACGTCACTGCGCTGGCCCTGCCAAACACTCACGGAAGTGGCGACCGTGTCGCACATCGCAGCCCCCCAGGGACGGCGAACTGTCCACCTGATGCGCGTAGGACGCCACTTCGCTAGCTCTCCCAGGAGAACACGAAAGTGGTGACGGTTTCGCAGGTCGAAGACCCCCTGGGACGGCAAGTTCTCCATCTGATCTGCGTAAGGCGTCACTGCACTGGCCCTCCCAGGAGCTCACGGAAGTGGCGACGTTCTCGCAGATCTAAAACCCCCCCAGGGACGGCGAAATGTCGACCTGTTGCGCGTAAGACATCAGTGCGCTGGCCCTCCCAGGGGCTCACTATAGTGGCGATAATTTCGCAGATCGCAGCCTCCCAGGGACGGTGAGGTCTCGATCTGATCCAAATACGTCCTCGTTGCGCTGGCCCTCCCAGGAGTTCACCAACGTGGCGACAGTTTCGCAGGTCGCAGCCCCCCAGGCAGCGCGAGCAGAGGGGGGGAGAGCAGGGACGAGGAGACGGACAAGGTTAGGTCGGGCATGTCCTCCTACAGACATGTTCTCGACGAACAATAAAACATTGTTAAAACAACTACTAGAAACATGCTCAAACACATGAAACACAAATCTTCCCCAGACTATGTTTTAACTATGGTTGAATATTCCTCCTGTAGAGGGACACGCCCCACTTAAGGATAAGGGAGGAGGAGACGCGCGAGCGCTTCTGTTCAAAACGAAGCCCCAACCACAGAAGGGTTGGGGAAATTCGCATCTCCGGATGTCTGGGGATCTGCGCGGCCCGCCACGAGCGCGGAGAGGCCCTAAGGCGAAGCCAAGACAAGTCGGACCAGGATGAACCGGGGGATGTGTGAGATCCGGCGACTCTGGGCGCGTCGTGCGCCGCTGCCTTTTCGATGATCCTCAGATCGTGTGTTAGCCCCAACGTGTGTTTGTCCATCGAGGTCCTTCAATACGACGCAGGCGATGCAATGATCTACTGGTTGGGTTGGTTGGGCTGAAGGGGGTCACACACACATTGGGCTAACACGTCCTGAGGATCATCGAACTTTCCAGAGCGCTCAAAAACGCTTGGGGAGCGTTCTGGAACGCTCTGGAGCGATTTATCCCGGCCCTACCCATCGGTCGGAAGAAGTAGGTAGGAACATGAAAGAGGAAGGCGGTGAAAAAGATTGGGCCTCCGCGCGCCCCCTGAGGAGAACGGTAACGGTGAAGCCACTGGATCATTGAAGTAGGAAGGCTCTTGAGGTACATTGGAACCTGGGAATCCAAATGATACCTACTTTCAAAGACCGATATGTACACAGCAAAATCAGCCCACAGAAAAACCATCGCAAGAAGCCCAACCATTACAATGGCCGAAATTTCTGTCGCGAGGGCCGCTCTTGATTGCTTCGCGGCTGCCAGCGAAGAAACTCAGGGTAAGTACCCACCGGTCGGAAGAAGTGGGTAGACACATGAAGTAGGAAGGCGTTGAAAGTAGATTGGGCTCCGCCCGCCCCATGAGGAGGACAGAAAAGGTGAAGCCACTCGATCATTGAAGTAGGAAGGCACCCAAAGAAGATTGGAATATGGAAATCCAAACATACCTACTTTCAACGACCGATGGGTACCATGGACCAGGCGGTTTCTCGAGAACTCGCGCAAGGCATCTCAGCGTCAAGACACTCAGGGTATCCTGCCAGCTGCGGATTCATCGCGACCGCTGCAATCCTTCACTCCGAACACAAGCCAAAGAAGACTAATGTAGCCTGGCAAATCGTATGGTGTTCCTGAGAATAGGCTCACACTCCAGACCCCGGACATCATGATGTTTTCACGACCTCGACCCACAAGGCTCTGGACCCCTTTCCCCGGACCCAGTTTGCCATCCTGAATCGTTTTCGGACGGTCCCGAGGCGCGGTGAAGGCCCCCGGAGGCCAGCAGTAGTGAACACATCGCCCGTCGTGTTTTTGTTCATGGCTCGAGGGGACCTGGGGCTGTTTTGCCTTAGGTCGGGCATGTCCTCCCACAGGCGGATCTTGCGCGAAAAATCAAAAGTATACGCAAAACAAATCTCAAGACATAGCCAAAAGATGTTCCAAAAATAGTAGCCAAATCATGTTTGGATTATTTTTGACCATTCCTCCTGTAGAGGGACACGCCCGACTTAACTGAAGGGGCCCTGGGACACACAAGTAAATACACACAAATAAAAGGATCCCCCATATTTTTCCATATGTTCTGGGATTTTGGCTTCCTCCCCACTTCCCATATTTTCCTATATTTTCCTGGGGGTCGACGATTAATTGTCTGTGTGATTTTTCCCCTCCTGATTAACTGTAGCCCCGCCCGACGAATTTCGATCCACCGATCGCTCGATATCCAGGTCGCCCGGCGGCCCAGCGCCACCGCGAGAGGGGCTCTCTCTCCCACGGCAGATCCATGCTCGGGGACTTCTGGTGCAGAAGAACTATCGGGAGCGGCCAAGAGGGGGGTGTCCAAGAGGGGGGGGTGCAAATCATGACCGGCGGCATGTGCGCGGC